GGGCTGGAGGAGCAGGGGGAGGAGGCGGAGGAGGCAGCTGCAACAGCCAAGGCAGGGCTGCCTCGTCCAGGAGGAGCATCAGCAAAGTGGTGTACGATGATCATGAGAGTGAAGAGGAGGAGGAGAGCATGGTGTCCGAGGAGGAAGAGGAGGGAGACCCCGAGGATAACCAGGACTCCGAGGAGGAAGAGGAGGAGGAGATAATGGAGGAGGAGGACGACGACGACTCTGACTACCCCGAAGAGATGGAGGATGAAGACGATGCCAGTTATTGCACTGAGAGCAGCTTCAGGAGCCACAGCACCTACAGCAGCACCCCAGGTAGAGAGTCAGTGGGATGAACTAAAACAAGTCGAGGGCACCCCACATGCTCCCTCTAGGTTTGCAAATACAGTCTGCACGCATTCTTCCTCCCGTGTGTGTGTATGGGATGCCTGCAAACACTCACAGGGAGAGAGGGGTATGCAAATTAACGACTGGCAACCCCACGGATGCAGGGAACATTAGAAGATGCCTACAAACACATGCACTGAGAGGAGGGAGGGAGGGCAGTACATGCTGTAACAAGGGGATGCTTTGCAAATATGCATGGAGATTCTGGTGACTGCAGAAATGCATGATACACCAGAACATTTTAAAAACAATGTCAAAAGTGTATGGAGTATTCACTTAATATTTAAAAAGAAGGGAAACGAGATGCATGCCTTGCAAAGAGGTCCTTTCAAATATGTACAGGAAAGGATGGCTTGTGCTTGCAAATCTAACTTGATGCTTAAAGGAAAGGAAGCACATGCAACTTGAAGTAGCCTAAAAAAAACCCCAAGCATAACCACTGAAAATTTTCAGGGTCTTGAAATCAGAAGTATAACTGGATCCAGCATTTACTGGCTTAAAGACAAAACTAGCTTTCCAGGGAGGGAAATGAGGTTCATTGTTCAAAATGGAGATTGCATTGTTATAGTTTGGGGAAAAGTGCACAGGGCCTCATTGCAAGGGTGTAAACCTACTTTTAGTTAAACACAAAGATTAAAAGGTGGAGGTTGAGTCAAAAGTCTTGGTTTTAAATACTGCATTTATCTTAAGATATGGTAACCTTTAAAACTCATGCTGGGGTTAAAACTTGTTAAACATCATTGTGATTATCATTTTTTTTAACCTCTAGTGGCAAATTTGGGCTTAAATTTTTAAGGCCTACACTTCTGTTTGCCCTTAATTAGTTCATTAACCATGTGGGTTTCAAGCTTCAACAATTCTTTATCTAAACTTAAGCACTTTGGATTTATTTGAATTCATTCTAGAATGGAGTTCAAGCTTAGATTTGGTTTGTTGGGGTTTTTTTAAAGTCTCTGGACCAGGAGAGTAGTTAAACTTAGAGATAACCTAGGAGTGTTTCTGAATTGGGCTACAGGATAACAAACACTGCTGTTGTACAAGTATTTGTCCAGTTTGGAAGGGGGGAGGAACAGGTTGTTGGTGTAAATGCATTGCATCTTAATTAAAAAAAGAGTGTAGTTTTGAGTAGTTAGCTGACTTTTTAAAAGGGGGAAGTACTGGCTACTAAATGTGTAATTTTTTTTTTTTTTTTGGTGGGTTAATGGGATCAGCTCATTATGTGACTTCATAATAGTCCTTTAAAAACTCTGTATGTCTATCTTTTTTTTCTTTAAATCTATATCCATATGCTCAGGAATCTACATGAATCAAAATAAGTACATACATTACCAAATTAATTTAACTGAGAGATTTTAAGATGTGTGGTTACCTGTTGCAGGGATGTCCTGCAAATTGAAATTTTTGAATGTTTATTACTTTAAAGATTGAGGTCTGGCTTCACAGAAGAAAAAAAACCCCTCTAAACTACTCTCTTGACTTTTAACTCTTCATTTTCTGTTTAGCTGTGGTACCTTTAATTTTTATTACTTTTTTGGGGGTGCTTTTTCAGGGAAAGAAAATTTTTGTTATTTTAATTGGCTAGGTCAAGAAAATATTTTTTACATGAGCATCCAGGTTTAAAATGAGTTCTACAGAGTATGGGTGTATTCAGTTTGTGAAATGTACTTAAGTGTTTTGGCAAATAACAAGATACCTCTGTGTGCATTGTTGTGCAAGCGTAGACAGGTTTTATGTGGTATTTAGGTGTATCAGAAACCATTTTGATAATTTATATGTTTATTTCTCACTTGGTCAGGATAATTTCAGTTAACTTTAAGATAAGTTTAAGTGTAAGCGTTTTCATCCTTATGCACTTTTTTAATATACTGTTTGATAGTTAAAACATCTGTGTTGTTATTTTGCAATTTACTGGCAGTTCCCATTAGTTCAGTATTTGCCTAAAGGTCTCCCTCCCTCCTCCTCTCTCTCCCAGACATGCTGTTGCCCTTTTGCAAAGAAAGTATGAACTTTTTTCATTCGATCAGCTAGGTCTGTGTCTTGTTTTTGCTGAACAAATGTCTACTTTGTGAGCACTGCTATACCATGGTGGCACTAATTGAACTCTTAGTCTTATCATAATCCAGAAAGAGATACTTGACATTAGAACAGCATTAATAGGCAAGGAAAAGATTCACCTAACCTCAATATGTCTTTATCTGACAGCGGTCAGTGCTGAGAAGAGTGTTAAGAATAGGGCAAGCACACAGTGATATGTCTTCGGAGTTCCTTCAGGGGTTTCAGTGCTTTTGACTCAGGTGCATGCTGAGCCAGAATTGGTCTTTAGCTATGTTTAGGTACATTTGTGGGGGTTTTCTTTTGCGTATTTCATATATTTCTTTTACATACGTTGTAATATACAGTAACAAAGTTCCTGTGGTTAACTGGGGAGCTTGAAGGAGTGTCTCCTCCATTGTTTTAAACTGGCCCCTGACAGAACTGTGTGGTGCGTGCTGGGTTTTTTTTTTTGCTAGAAGAGATGATGAACGATCATTCTCTACTTATCTTCCCTCAGTCACGTGCAGCCTGAATTACTACTGCTTTCAGGATGTAGTCTTGGGGGCTGAAGAGTTTATTTTTTAAGAGCAGGGTATTGAAAAATTGCAATCCCAATCAAACTCTCCTGCCAAACAAGATTTTACACGTAAATCACATCCCACTTAAATGGGTGACAGACTTTTTACAGTTTTTTCAAACTTACATGGAACAATGACTTAAAAGATCACAGTGCAATGTCTCTAGCCAAGAAAGCTCAATTTTTATGCTCTACTGGAGAGTTTATGATATATCTTGAACTTGGATGTATGAGTAGTGTTTTACTATATTGTTACTCAAGTATTTAAAGAAGCGAAATCTTAGGAATGGTAAAATGCCTTTGATGTAACACTTAAAAATGGTACAGTGAATGCATATGACATTTATCATTGCTTTTTCTTCTGTTGGAGGGACTTTTGGTAGAGGGATTTGGGGGGTATATCCCTTTTCTCTTATCCCTTTGTATCCCCAGAAGGTAGATGTACTTTTAGGATAGATATCCTTATATATCTTATCACTAAACATTTTTGCCATTACCTGTCTACTGTAAGTTCTACTTTAGGTTTGTCACAATTGCATTATAGATATCAAGTATTTTCCATATGTTGTGGAATTTTAAAAGAAGGGCTTAAGATGCCTAGAAGTCCTTCATTTTTTCTGTTTCTTGTTTGTCAAAAACTTGGAAAACTAGCTTTAAGAAGAGCCATACATCTAGATTTTGGCTGAGATAATCATCATCCGTCTGTCTAACATGCAAATGCACAACAGTGGAGTTGTGAGCCAAAAGATTTGTCTTTAAATACATTAAATAAATTTTTAGGTGGATTTTGCTAGTCTGTGAGCATTTACAGTGATTAACCATCACTTCTGTTAACCAGTTACTTCACCGATGTGCTTTTATTTTCAGAGTGGAAGAATTTAACTGGAAACAAGGTTCTGCATTTTGTGTGTCTATAGTAATTTTATATCTTAACACATTTTCATGCTCTTGAAGAATTGTTGGACACATTCAGATATGACATTAAGATATGCAGCCTCTTTTTTCTGTCATGTGAGAAGATTTACTAGTCTCCCAAACATCTTACCTAGGGTACTCTGTTCTCTAAATTAAATCTGGCTTGCTCTTATTTTACCGTTTAGTAATCTGAACTTTGATTTGTACTCCAGAGGATCTATGGCTAGGTCATCATGCCAGTCATGAAAAATGTAGAAGATAAGTCCTAACAAAAAAATTGTGTAGAAGGCCAAACGAATAAATCTGTGGCTGATTCTGTTGTATTGACATGCAAATTTGCAGTTTATCTGAAGAGAGCATTTGTCACTTCAGTCATCTAAGAAGCTCTGTGCAGCAAATATTGTACCATTATCAAAGTACGTGTGTTGTAAAAGGTAGAACAATTTGATGTACTGCGGATGAGTTTATTGTGCAAATCTTTTTGTAGGTCTGCAGTAAAATTCCATAGCTGACCATTGTATTGCAAAGAACTGGTGTAAGGTGAATAAATGTGGCTTTTAGTAGATTGAGGCTGACTGTCAGGGCTCACTAACTTAAGAAATTAGTTACAACTTATGCTGGGTTTGTCCCAACTAAGAAATTGTCAGAATGTTCCTGAAAATTGTTATATTAGTGCTACTTTTTTTTTTGCCTGGGTTCTAGGCACAAAAGGGCCTAGAATTACTCTTGAGTAATTCTCAGAATGACAATGTGGGATCTCATCTGCCACTTGTCTTGCATTAGTTATCCAAATGTTAAAATGATGCCTTAGAATATAGGGGGTTTGTATTCCTGGCTCCTACTGAGGGTGCGCTGATGGCCATAATGTTGAGAAATTAAATTCTTAATGTAAAATCAGCAGAGAACCCTAGTTTGATTTAGAAGCATACTACTAACAGATGTACAAATGGAAAAAATAAACACCCAAAGGTTTTAAAGTCCTAAAGTTTTTAAGATCATAAAGATCTAGTTTTGTACAGCACAAGGCAGTAGGCAGACTTAAAAGAGCACGTGTTGAGAATTTTTGCGATATGAGCGGTCTCAGGATCTAGTCTAGTAACTGGTTATTTTTTCATTTGTGCTTCAACTTCCAAAGCTTTTGTGGTTTTTTTTTTTTCTTTTTCCAGGCAAAATAAATAAATTTAGGTTAGGTACGATTATTGCAGAGTGATAGTCAAATTAAGACTGCACTTACAAGTAGTTACATACGCATCTTACTCTTTTAGAGAATTTTTCTGGAAGAGATTGTTTGACTTGTGAATATTAGAAGCACATTGATTGTCATGTTGGCATTTTAAAAGGTAAAAAAGTGTCAAAGCCTTTAATTTTGGCCCATCCCAAGAAAAAGATTTAGATTTTTCTA